CTGCTTTTTTTTAAAAAATAAAAAAAATTGTACACATACACACTCACATGTCACATTCTCTCTCGTCGCATCTATTTTTTTTCGGCACAAAATGCGCAGTCAATCCATTTTGTGGCGTGTTCTGTTGAAGCGCTTGGAGACGTCTCAACGAGCTGTTGAGGAGCTGTATCAAGTGCCAGGGTTGTTGTTGTTGTTGTTGTTATTATTATTATTGTACTTGTGATTGCAGGGTTAACGTGCTCCTCACTTCACTTTTCTACTTCAATAAGAAATTATAAAAGTCCTGGGGTTTAACTTCCCTCATCTGGAATTGCGCATTAAACACAGGGATTATAACCATCGTGTTTTTTCCCCCCCCGCGTGTTTGTTTGGATGGTAATATCTGACGACTATTTCTTTCTTTAAACCGAGGCTTTGCTTTTAAACCAATTCGCCTGGGGAAAAAAAACACACCAGACAAGTCACCAACTGCGCTCTGCAGCGAAGCGCTTTCGAGACCTTCCTGCTCCTTCGGGAAGGCGTTGGAGGAGCGAATGCAACGCCACTACAACTGCAAAAGCTACAACACCGATGTACATTTGTAAAGGACATTTCACGTCGGGAGGGCGTCCCGAGGAGAGACACTCTGGGCTTTGCACCCGAGCTGCAAACTGACTTGAAATCCACAAGGGGTTGCGTTTCGAGATTGACTTTCCAAACGTTCAGATCGCTCACTGTGTCTGTAATATTAATGCATTCCACACTACATGATTATTATTATTATTATAGCAAATATATGCCCTCCCTCCCCCCCCCCTCCCCTCCCTACCACAACACCTCTCCCTTAACAAAAACTTCGAGAAGAGCGGATTTTAGGGTAACCCAATGCATTCCGGAAAGAAACCAAGTGACATGCATAACATATAGCATGTTGTTCAGAAAGTGACAATTTGATGTCAAACTTGTTTTCTGATGGTAGATCTCTCTCCCCACCTCCCACCCCCCCCCCCCCCCCCTACACACACCACCACACACACACACAGTGACCCACACTGGTCACAGTGTCCCTGAGATAATGTCACTTAACAGCAAATATCTTACAGACAAATGACTACAATCCTCTCTTCACCACTCAGACCCACACATCTTACCCTGAGAGAGAGAGAGAGAGAAAGAGAGAGCAGAGCTCACACATTATACCAGGAAAGGGTCCAAAAACAAGTCTGGGTTCCTTTCTCTGTGGTTTTTTTCTTTGGTGGGGGGGGTGAGGGGGGATCTAAATATCGGAGATGATTTAAATGCACCAAACATTGCGAGCCTTAGTATTACGGATGGGAGATGGTGCGGATGTAAATCGAAGCAATGAATACAATCCGAACCCCCTCCAAAATCCACAAAACCTACAAGATAAACATTTGCCGAATCGTGGCTATTGCACACTGGTGTCTTGAACTGGACTTCATCTCATAGAGAGAAGATACTGAGAGTTTTTTTCAAAAAAAATATGCACATATATATATTATATATATATATTATATAGAGTTTGGGATCTCAATCGCACGTAACTGTCATTAATAAAACTCCATCCCAATGGTGCAAATAAAGTGTGAACTGTGATTTAATGGTTGTCGTCTAATCTCTGATACAAGTGATGGCGATTTATGTCTCACACTCACACACTCGCACACACACACTCGCACACACACACTCGCACACACACTTACACACTCATACACTCACTCACACACTCGCACACACACTCACACACTCGCACACACTCGCACACACACTCACACACACTCACACACTCGCACACACACACTCGCACACACACACTCGCACACACACACTCGCACACGCACTCACACACTCGCACACACACTCACACACTCGCACACACACTCACACACACTCGCACACTCGCACACACACTCACACACTCGCACACACACTCACACACACTCGCACACTCGCACATACACTCACACTCGCACATACACACACACTCGCACACACACACTCACACACTCACTTGCACACTCGCGCACACACACTCGCACACACACTTACACACTCATACACTCACTCACACACTCGCACACACACTCACACACTCGCACTCACACTCGCACACACACTCACACACACACTCACACACTCGCACACACACTCACACACACACTCACACACTCACACACTCGCACACACACTCACACACTCACACACACACTCACACATACACTCACACTCACACATACACTCACACTCGCACACACACTCACACACTCGCACACACACTCACACACTCGCACACACACTCACACACTCGCACACACACTCACACACTCGCACACACACTCACACAACGGTTCCCGAACAGGAATCTTCATACAGTACAAATTGACTGCTGTTGGTCCACTGAATTCCCAACCCGACCATCGGAATATAGTGCTTTATTGATTAACACAGTGGGCACATGTTCACTCAGGATTGCCCTGACAATGTTGATATAAAGTGGCTTTAAAAGCAAAGCTCGCTGTGTTTTTATATATATAAAAAATTATTCGCACACACACACACACACACAGACACACACACACCGGGATAGACCTCACCCACAAATCCCCCCCAAAATCGTTGTGACAAATATTTGCAACGCGATTTATTTATTCCTCTCTTTTTTTTAAAAATCGTATATATATATATATATATATATGACCCTTTTTTTTTAATATAAAAAAAACAAATAAATTTAAAAAAAAGGGGACATAAAAATAAAGTTGTCGTCTGGTCGTCCGATACTACAAGTGCTGTGGTGGGAGTGTAATTTATTTCGTAGAGAAACCGAATCGATCAAAATATGTATCTGACTCCTGTGGTCCTCACAACCGCACTCGGGACCCACTTTACCGACCGACGCGCGTACGAGGTCCTTCAAAGCGTCGGTTGGCAACTTTTTTTTGCGTAAAATGACCCCTCCAAAAAAGTGTCTCTCAGTACCTCTGCCCCGAACTTCACTCTGTGCCTGTGTTTCGCAGACAGAACTGTTGGATACACTCGTGTCTGCAAACCGTTTTCTTCCTCTCCACCCCCTGTACATCCCTTCCAACTCCAGGGGTTTTGCTCAGTCGGGGGGAACAATTTATTCACAATAACTTATTTAATACATTTATTTATTAACAATAAATAGTAAATCACGAATAACGCGAGGAACGTGGGACTCTTGACATTAAGGAAAAAAAAGGGACTGATTTAAAAAACGATGGGAGTCAACGATAAGAGATTTGCGGTTGGAACAAAATTGCCCACAGTCTCCCCCTCAAATTGTTACTGTCAAATCGTATTGCCTTTTCACATCAGGACCCCTGAGCTGTGTGTCGGTCAGTCAGTCAGTCAGTGTCTGTGTCTGTGACCAGTCTACATTTATGGTTCCTGAAACCATCGTTGCAGACGCTCCACATCGAGTCCCCAAAAAAAAGATTTCTTCATTTTACTGTCTTTCTTATTTTTTGTTGGAAAAAAAAAGCACTGACACCCGTTTCCAACACCACACCAGAAACCCATCAAATAGTTGTGAGAATGTATCCTGGCCGTTGCAGCTTTTTTTTTTGCTTTTTTAACCCCCCCCCCCCCATTAATTACAAGTACATTTTAATTGAACAAAGTTACTGGAAGAAAAAAAAAAGCAATTTGAATTTTTTTTTGTGGTGGGGGGAAGAGAAAAAAAAAACATCCCCTGAAGCAGCACAAAAGCCTTGAAATAAAATGGGGGACTTATTTACCATCTGCTGAGTGCTAACAACTTGTTGTGTGTAAGTGCTGTTTTTAACAGTGCCTCTCAAACCCGTGTTATAAAAGGGGTCCATCTCGGTCTTGGAGAGGGAGGGAGGGAGGGAGGGAGAGGGAGGTAGGAGTTCAGATGTACCACAGATGTACTATTTCTTTGGCCAGTTGCTCATAACTGGGCACCAGTTACTGTGCTCCAATTGCCTGCAAACACCCAGTCACTGCACTTTACAGTAAATCCCGGGGAGCGATTTGAGACTCCTTTCCCTCTCCGAGAAGGCGCAAAAATCAAATGCAAGAAATGATTCGCATTTAACTCTATCTTCCCTCTGCTTTTAAGCTGTGCAATTGCGAGGAGGGGCAGAGAGAGAGAGGGTGGGGTGGGGGTGGTGTTTGCTGGTTATCCCAGGAATGAGTCTAATTGCTGGTAGAGTAAACCACCCATGTGTTTCTTTTTACAGCATTTAATTTCCCTGTTTGCTAAAGTAACCCACAGCCTCACCAGGCAACATCCGAGCAAAAAAAAAATACACCCCGAAAATAACCAAAAGGGGGAAATGTGTGTGGGTGGGGAGTGGAGAGAGAGAAGTGGCTGTAAGAGACAATTATACTTTCTGACAGAACTCTACTCCATTCCCCATCACCACTAACACTGTAGAAATATACCCTTTCCCCCCCACGGTGTTAACACACACTTAACACACACACATAGACCTCTCTCCTAATTCCATTTATTTCATTTTAAGTTGAACCACAACACACACACACACTTCTCCCAATTCCATTTAAAGTTGAACTAAACACACACAACACACACACACACACACCTCTCTCCTAATTCCACTTATTTCATTTTAAGTTGAACCTAATTGCAATTTTTTTTAAAAAAAACAAGTTTTACATCCTGTACTGTTACGACAAGAAGATTGGAACTGATTGACCGTCTCAGGTTTGGAAGGATAAATGTCAAACCACAGAAATCCTTTTGGCAATCTATATATATATATATATATAACGATATATATATATACAGTATAACATAAGATCGTAAAAGAGCTAACCCCACACTGCTATCTATGACTGTGCAGCCAACCTGCCTGAGATGGACCATCTCTGAACACTTCACACACACAGAGAGAGAGAGAGAGAGAGAGAGGAAGAGGGAAAGAGGGAGAAAGAAAGAGAAATAAGAAACGTGTGGATCCCTCCCTTTTCTCTCTAAAACGTTTGCTTACCTTCGTTTGAAGGATGCCCAGTCGATGGCTCCACACTGATAAGGCAGCAGAGCATCAGAGAGAGAGAGCACAAGTGGGAACCCCTGGCCATTTTTTGGAGCTGTGATCGGTTGTGAGTGGAGCATATCTCTGTGAAGCATGCCAGCAACTGATCTGAGAGAGCTTGTGATCGCCAGGCAAGTTACCAGGCACAGCTTTTTCAGGGTGATGTCAAGTTTGACACTGCAGATAAGGAGGAGTCAGAGAATTGGTCTCTCCAAGCAGTGAGGGGATCTCACTGGGTCCTAAAGTTCCAGCAATCGTGTCTTGCCTTAGTCAACCCACCCTGGTCCTCAGCAGGATATTTAAAGTTCAGTGTCCAAAGATTCCCCACTGAACCCCCACCCCCCACCCCAACCACCACCACCACCACCCCTTCCCCCCTCTCACCAATCCCCCACCTCCGCTCTCCTCCGCACTGTAGCTAACGCGAATTTACGCCAGGCTGCGCCACTGTTCAGCGGTCCGAGACTCTATCCTGTGCAAAAGGTGCTATATGAACAATGATAATCCTTGCATTTGATATAGCGACTCATCACGTTGTTGAGACGTCTCAAAGCGCTTCAGAGAATATACTGTAAAGTGAATTGGCTGTGTCTTTTACGGCCGCAACACAGCAGCCAATTGCGCACATCAGTGTCCCAGAAACAAACTAAAATGCAGGGTTCAGTTTTTGTCGTTGCTAATTCTAGCTCTACCTTCACGCTTTGTATTCACGTTGAGTTGCAATAAATATTACAAACCTATTTTGATTTGGAATAGAAAGGGAAAGCCAACCTTTGTTTAAAGCTGAGGGTTCAAACCCCCACACCAGTATTTTGAGCTCACACTCCAAAAGTTTAGTTGATGCTCCAGTGCAGTGCTTACTGGAGCACTACATTGTCGGAGGTGCCGTCCTTCGGATGAGATGTTAAACCAAGGTCCCGTCTGCCTGTTCAGGTGGATGTTAAAGATCCCGCGACACTATTTGAATTGCCTGACTTTTGTATTTCTTCCCTTTTGTCGGTTCACAGTGAAAAAAATAATGTTTAAAGCTAGAGGCTCCCAAGCTCGGTGCTGCACTTTGTTCATTAACCAGCTCCTCAGTCCCTATTTCAGCATAAAAGCGTTAAAAGCCCCTTCATTAGAAACTTGTTAATACATAGCTAGGCGAGCTGCCAGCAATCATTAATCACATAGTCTCTAGGCTGACGCTCCGGTGCAGCATTGGGGGTGTGCTACTTTGCCGGAGGTGCTGTCTCTCAGATGAGATGTGAAACCGAGATCCCTTCTGTCTGTTCAGGTGGATGTTAAAGATCCCATAGCACTATTCAAAAAGAGAAAGGGGAGTTTCTCCTGGTGTTCTGGCCAACAATCCCCCAAATAAAATCAATCATTCCACTTCATGGCTGTTTGTGGGACATAGCTATGTGCAAATTTGCTGCTGTGTTTGCCTACAAAATGTACACTCACCTCACTTTGCAGAAATTCCAAAGAAGCGCTTTGAGACATCCTTATGACGTGAAATGCACTTTATCAAATGCAGGGATTAATATTATTATTAATGCCCTGTAAAGTCAATTGGATTCAAGGGCAAATTTTAAATTGTTGAAGAATAGAACAGAAAAGTGACACCCTGAGGATAAATTATAAAACCTTGACTGCCAACAAAGTCAGGCAGAACAAAGAGTCTAAAAATAAACTTCAAATTTCTCAGTGTCTAACAGAAAGCAAAATGAAAAAGGTTTGACTCAAAAAAGAAACTCATCTTGAAAATCTATTTCTAGCTGTAATAATGCAGTAATTATAATTCTTGCATTTGACATAGCGTCTTTCACGTCAGGAAAAGTGTTTCACTGGATTTACTGTAAGGTGTATTGACTGTATTTGTAGTTGAACACAATGTGCAGTGCAGTGCTCCGAGAACCAATCCTGAATGAAGGACCTATATAATCGCAAGTTGTATAACTGCATTCTATATAAATATATTTTGTAGGCAAATATTGTGGCCAATTTGCACACAGTGACGACCCCCAAACAGCAGTGAAGTTATCTTCCTTTATTCCTGCTAAACAGAGCACATTTTGGTGCCAAAAGACAACCATTTTAACTGTAAACGATGCCAAAAGATGGTGAATTAGATATTCCAGATGCTGTAATGAAGAATATTTCTAATGAATACTAAACTGAAAAATAATCAGGGAATGTAGAACAATTTTCTCTCATTAACTTCCCTCTCTGCCTTCTGATCCTTATGTAACAGATGGGCTCCAGTATATTTTGAAGATGTGGAATTGAGATTTTTGCAACAACAATTTGCATTTATATAGTACCCACCCAGGTGGGATTTAAAGATAAATAAAGAGGAACTAATAGGAACTCAATAGCAAAGGCTGGGATTTAAACATACTGGTTCAGATCATGTTAAATAACCGAAGATAAGATTGAGTGGTTTCTACACATTATCTAAATAATGAGATGAAATGACAGCTTTTTACTCAACAACAACAAATTTCATTTATATAGTGCCTTTCACATCAGGAGGATGTCCCAAGATGCAAATTACTCACTATCTTCCTANTTTTTGAAAATATATACTTTTTCATAATATCAAAAAATAAAAACAAAAAAATGAGTGCTAATGGAGCAATTGGGACAGTTATGTCAACAGAAGCTTGTGAGCGGTCGAGGTGATTTCCTCACTGCAAAATCATGCGATCACAGGATTCATAGCAGGATATTACAAGGGAAATATATTGTGCGTCAGGAGTACAATTACATGGCAATTGAAGTGATAGTGAGCATTATAAAAATATGACCCCCTTGTTCAAAAATAAAGCAGCCTTGTACTGAAATACCCTTCTACATCATACCTACCAAGAAGAATTCCTTTACGCAGAGGTAAATCAACAATTGAAACAGGGTCACCAAAGTCTAGGCTGACAATCCAGCATAGTTGCATTGGTGGAGGTGCCATCCTTCGGATGAGATGTTAAACTGAGGACCCGGGTCTGCTTGTTCAGGTGGATGTTAAAGATCCCATGACACTATTCGAAAAGAGAAGGGAATTTCTCCCGGTGTCCTGGCTAACAATCCCTCCCAAGTTTGTGTATGAATTGACTGTTGAGTCGCTACACTTCATGGTAAACCCGTGAAGCAATTTGAGACGTCCTCCAGATGTGAAAGACTCCATACTAAATACCAAATAGGGATTATTATTCTTATCATGAAGGTGGTTGAAGCCAGAATGCTAGACTTATTTAATAATAATAATAATAATAATAATAATCCTTGCATACAAGAAGCAGCGAGGTATTGTGATTGGGAATACAGTTGGGTTAGTATTCAGGAAGGATGAGATTGAATTGGGCCGAAGGGCTTCTTTCACCAAACCTCTCTTGTGATCCTTTTTGTAACAACTAAGGCACACTCCAATATTGTGCTTCTTTATTTTTCCACCCTCTGAGAAATATTGAAGTTGAATAATTTAATCACAAGATCAATATAAAGTGAGTTGGTAACTTTCACAGTGACTGCTACAGTCGAGCCTCATAAATTATAAACTCACACAGACCAGTAATAAAGCTGTTATTGGAATCTGCCCCATCAGAGTTTAAACTCCCCTTCCACCTTCAGCTGGATTTTGTTTCAGTACCTGAGACATGAAAGTTCTCATAGTCTTAGCCTCAGGGCATTCACCCAATCCTACAAACTGCTCAGTCTGCACAGCCCTCGCCTATAAAAACACACAGTCACCACACCTCACAGTAGATCCTGCAAATTGCTTTGAAGATGTCCTCCCGACATGAAAAGAGCTGCCTCAAACACAAGGATGATTATTATTATTAATAATAATTCATGTCATTTATAAGATGACTCGGAATTTTCAAAAATTCAGTCTTAGTCTGGAAGCCAGCCTTTCGCAGTTCCAAATTGAGGTTGAACGTGAAAATGTTTTCACCCAAATTTCCGCACGGTTTAAAATGTTGAGACAATGGTCCGAAGGCTTAAGACCACGATGAGCTGTTTGAGTTGCACAGTGGAACACAGGAATGCACAGGCACCGGAAAAGACTATTGCATTGTGGTTGGCCCCTAAACAAGGATTGGTCTATAATAACAGGTTTGTTATACCGCGTGCGGTTTGACTGAATGCCAGTTACACATTCTGATTACATAGCTCATTCAGAAGGAATTACAAACATTTGCAAAGGACTGGCCTGACAGGAAATGATAATGAAACGTATAAATCATCATTTTACTCGATTTTGCTGTTGTATTACCAAAACACACATCGTTCTCCTTGTTTTTCCAATTCCCCCCTCTGCCCCTCCCTCTCTGAGGCCTGAAATTCCACCTGGTCTTAGCCTGTATTTCACTCAATTCTTAAATTCAGTCTGAATTTATGTGAAATAATCAACCTTGCATCCGAAATTGGCATCAAGACTTCTCAAAGCATTTCACAATGCGACACTGAAATGTAGTGTCTGTATTTGCAAGCGAACACGTCAGCCATTTTGAGTCTAACAATATTCCACAAACAGCCAATGAAGCGAGTGACCAAGTTTATTTGGGGATTGTCAGTTAGGACAATGGGAGAAACTCCCTTCTCTTTTTGACATGGACCTTGGGATCTTTAACGTCCACCTGAACAGGCAAACGGGGCCGTGATTTGTCATCTCATCTGAAAGACGGCACCTCCAACAATGCAGGGCATTTGACAGCCTCTATGATAGCATAGAGTTCCAAGTCCCAACATGGGGCTTGAACCCACAACCATCTGTCTCAGAGGTGAGAGTGCTACCAACTGAGCCAGGCTGACACCTAAGTAGAAAAAGTGGCTGATTTCCATCCACCTCCCCCAATATCATGCCACCGAGGCCAATTATAGCATCCCTACTGTTTCACCATTTGACTTCAACAAACCCAGAGCAGACAAGGAATCTATAGAAAAATCCAGGGTGGATCTATTCATTTATGGATGCGAGTCTGCTGTACTGATTTACATTAGAGATTCTGGGCCTTATTTTATTCTTTACTGCGCTGACTTAGCTCTGCATTTTGTGCCATGTTGCACTTCAGATTTGACACTTTCAAAAAACAATCCTCTCCTTTCATTTTCTATCTTCCCTCCGCGCTTCAAGTCTCCCGAAACTACCCATTGCTTCC